TTTATGGATGATATAGGGCTGCATAGGGTTATGGGCAGTTAGGATAGGGACAATAGCAAGGTTTTGGACAGCAGCAGCAGGATTTTGGACATAAAACAGTAAAACAAAGACAATAGGAATAATAATGATAAAAGGCAATTTGTTAGTAATACGAAAATAGAAGAAGAATAATAATAAAAATAAGATGCAAACCAAATTAATTTTATTTTAATTTTAATATTAATTTAATTTTTAAAAATTGAATTAAAATTAGAATCAAATCAAAATTAATATTGGATTAAAAGAAGCTAAAACTATAATGACTAAAAAGAATAAAAAATGTAAAATAAAGGAAAAAGATATTAACTATATTTTTTGAGATTTTTTGGATTAAAATCTTTACTAAAATATAAATCTAAATGAAACCAATAAAACTATAATAATTTTTTATATTTTTTGAATTAAGAATTTCAAATTTAAAATGCTATAATGCTCATTATAAATAATTTTTGTGATTTTTCTAATAATGGGATAGTAAAAGTGACATGAACTAAAATACATATTTTTTAGATTTTTTTCAAATAAGACAAAAATGATAATAAAAGACGAAAAAAAATGTGTGATACGCACGATTTGGGAAAGGTTGGACAAGACATGATCAAATTCTATTAAATTCATAAAGCGACTTCTAACATTTTCATTCTTCCGTGGCTTTTCAAACATAATCAGCTCTTGACTTGTAAAGAAAAGTTGTAGATGTTGTCAAGGAGAATCATATGTAAAAGAAACACTGAGAAGTATCGAAATTTGAAGAAGTTATGAATTTTTTAAATCTGACTCGAGAAATGGCAAAAATAGGTCGAATTGCTTGTGAACGCTTGCTATGTAATAATACAGATGGGAGGTGGTATCTTAGGTCAAAAATTGGGGTATGACAGCTGACAAAAAGGAAACCAATGTTGTATATGGGTCAAGGGGCCATATCAAGAAAGATCATCGTCAATCTGTCAATGCTATTTTGATCTCAAATCCACCCTCTACTCCAAGACAACCACAACAAGCCAACCATCAAAGACCTGAGGTTCCAAGAAGACAATTCACAAGGATTAATATGTGGTTATCTCAAGCCTTACAACACCTGTTGAAGGATAACTTGGTAACCTTGCATGATCCACCATCAAATCCCAATGTTTTATCACCAAAGTACAATCCTAACACCAAATGTGCTTATCACTCTAATAGCCCCGGACATGACACTGATCAATGTTGGGCTTTGAAATGCAAGATTCAAGACCTCATTGACAATAAGACCATTGAGTTTGATCCACCTACAACTACAAATGTAATCACTGCACCAATGCCAAATCATGGCAAAGGTGTTAATGCAATTGAAGAAACTGCTTTTGTTTCCTCTGTTGAAGACTTGACTACTCCACTGATTATTGTTAAAGAAAATTTGTTAAGAGCTGGGGTTTTCCCTGGTTGTTTAAAAGACTGTAATTGTTATACTCTACAAAATAATGGACACGAATGGATGAAAAAAAGGTGTTCAACGCCTAATAGATAGTCATGAGATCCTGTTTGAAAGAACTCTGACCATAAAAAGTTTGACTGAAGAAGTTAAAGACATATCAATCATCACCATATCCAACAAACCTATTAGGATCTCTTCAAAAGGTCCTATTAGGATTTCCAACGAACCAACGATTTCCCCCTTGATAATTACCGCACCAGGGCCAATTCCTTATTCTTCCAATAAGGCAGTACCTTGGAATTATGGAGACAAAGTATACTACCATGGAATTAAGCAAGACTCCTAATTTGATGAAGACAAGACTGATGACATTACCGACATTACTGGCTCTAGTAAGGTGACAAGGAACGGGAGAATCTTATCTCATGACATTTCACCTCCAACAACTACAACTACACGTGTTTGAATTACTGTTGACAAACCTAGTACTGATGCTAGGGGCAAAGAAAAGATGATTGAGCCTGCCAGGATGGAGGCGCCTGCCAAAGAAACTACTACTGAGGAACCCTCCACCCAAGAGATGGAGTTGAAGATTATAAAGAAGAGTGATTTTAAGATAGTAGAGCAGCTGGGGTAAACCCCCTCCAAGATCTCTATGATATCCTTATTGCTGTGTTCAGATGTGCATGCTCAAGTGTTGATTAAGTTCTTGAAAAAGGCTCATGTTCCTCAAGAGACAACAGCCGACCAGATTGAAAATTGTGTGGCGAGTTTGACTGCCAATAATGGATTAGGATTCTCTTATGCTGATTTGACTCCAGTAGGAAGAAACCATAACAAGGCTTTGCGTGTCTCTATTGAATGAAAAGGAACCACTTTAGCCCATGTATTGGTGAATATTGGGTCTTCTCTAAATGTCTTGCCCAAGGGTGCTCTAGATCGATTGGATTACGAAAGATTGGTACTGAAGCCAAGTGATATAGTGGTAAGGGCTTTTGATGGATCCAAAAGGATGGTTCATGGAGAAGTAGACCTCCCCATTAAAGTTGGTTCACAAGTTTTCAATTCTACTTTCTATGTGATATACATTCGTCCCGCATATTCTTGTTTACTTGGGCGCCCTTGGATACATGGGTGCAGCGGTGAAAATCGGAGATCAAGCTATTAATTAACTTGACTCGCAAATAAGCATGAGTCGCCACCGCGCTTTATTATTTCCAAGGGAAAAGGGAAAAGAGAAAAATAAAACCCTTAAATATGCAATGTAAAGTAATGAAAATACAATGTATTTTTGAAAGAGATCGAGAGTTCGGGGGTTGGTTATACAATGGGAAGGTATTAGCACCCAATGCATCTACGGTACTCTACATGAACCTTTTGAAATATCTGTCTTTTGTTGGATAAAATTGTTTGTTTCGTAAAAATGGGTTGTTTGGCAAAAATGGGTGTGGATGATATTTTTAAGATACGACGACCTATTGTCGAAGTTTTGAAATTGAGTCTTTTAGAAAATTTAACAAAAAATCTAAAATGTATGAAGGATTTTGCACAATCGTATTCGATGACATGAAGTCAACGATTTAATTCTTTCCTTTGGATTAATCATAATCAAGTAGGTCTAATAATCGAGCAAGAATCAAAGCATAAATAATTAAAAATCCACAAGAAACAAACAAGGTAGATAATAACAAGATAAATTGTAAGAAACTAAATGAATGGACAAAGAAGAATCATGAATAAAAGAAAAGTGTAATTAAAAAAATTATCTAAACTAATTTGAAATTCTAAGGTTACTAAGTAAACTAAACTTAAATTTTAAAGTGTCTAACTAAACTAAATAAAATTTTAAAGTTATTAACTAAAACTAAATTAAAATTCTAAAGTTACTAACTAAAATTCGAAAGTTATTAAATTAAATCTAAAAATAAGTTAGCACTCTAAAATTACTAAATTAGATCTAAACTAAATTAATTCTAAAGTTACTAACTTACATCTAAACTAATTTAAGTATAAACTAAATTAATTCTAAACTAAAGATTAAAATTCTAAGACTAAATTAAAATTCTAAAGTTATCAAAATGTATCTAAACTAATTAGAAGTTCTAAAGTTATAAAATAGATCTAAACAAATTAAAATTTCTAAAGTTATCAAAATATACCTAAACTATTTAAAGGTTCTAACATTACTAATTTATATCTAATTAAATTAAAATTCTAAAGTTATTAAATTAAGTCTGAAACTAATCAAAATAATTAAGATTATCCGGTTAACTAAAACATAGTTATTTAATTAAATTTATAAAATAACTAAATTAACTAAACTAATTATTATTTAAAATAAACAAAATGAAAGGGTGTAACTAATAATTATTGGAGAGAGAGTAGTAAAAAATGGTTGGGCCTAAAAAAATTAGAAGGAAACTAGCCCAGGTTTATAGAAAAAAACAATTTATAAAAGAACTAAAAAAAAGGAATGGGCCGGATCGGGTCAGGCTGGACCCAGATCCACCCAGCTTATGAAAGACAAAGGGGTTAGAAAACCCTAAATTGTCCAGCGCCTCTCTTCATTCAAATTTCCCAACCCCTCTCAACCGTGAACACCAGAAATCAAAGAAGAAAATGATTCCTCTCTCTGTTTCAAACTGATCTCACGAGCAACAACGAACGGCGATCATTCGCCTCAAACTTTGGATTTCAAAGCTTCGACTCAACCTCTTATACGAAGCTTTAGCATGCATCCGTATCATTCGCCTCATCCCAGTCGCTTGTCCATGATCTCATCAAACCGGATCAGAAGCAAATTCCGACGAAGTTTTCGAGAAAAACATGGTAATATTTTGTTTCTCCTCTTCTCCCTCTTTGATTTAATCTTCTCATTTTTCTATGTTTCAGTATGGACTTTAATGTTGATGATGTTGAGTGTTGTATCAATGTTGCAGAGATGCTTGAAGACAACAATTGATGCATTGTTTTTGATGTTGATCGAAGTCGTGAAACAAAAATGCCAAAGGACTTGTTGAAACAGTGTTGTAGATAAACAAAGATGATGAAGAGCAGTAGATGCAGAAGAAATTTTATTGTAGTTTTTTATTTTGTTTTTACTCGGTTCAATTTCACGTTATACAAACAACAACTTACATATAGTTTTCATATGATTTCAGGATGATGACGAAGATTCAAACAACAGAAAAATCAAGCATTCATGGGAAATAATTATTAACAGTATAGAAACATCATTGTATCAAGCAGAAAACAAATAAAGCAACAGTGATATGAGATTACCGACATGAACAAAGTTCTTCCCGGTAGACTCCTTCCTCGATCCTTTCCTTCTCCTTTTGCCTCAAAATTTATGTTGATTCTTACATTTGCTTTAACAGGTTCAATTTTGTGTTAAAAAAAACAAAACACGAGCAAAAAAGTTGCGGTTCTGTGAGTTGCTCGCCCGTGAACGTTGTTGCAAAGGATAGAGATAAGATTTTTCCTACTCCCTTAGTATGATTTTCTTCTGCCCAATATCAGTCATTTCTCTCCTATATCAATAAAATTATTTTCTCTTCATTCCTCCCCTTCTTCTGTTGAATGATGTTTTCATTTTATAGAGAGAGAGAATGATAAAATTTGGTGGGAAAAGTTGGTGCCTTTGAACTATTGTAGTTAACTGTTTTATTTCTTTTTGAATGCAAATTTGTATGGCTATTTTTGATGTTATTTTTTGGACTGTTTTGGACAGGTTTTGGACTGACATGGTGCAGACTGGTTTTGGACTGTTTTGACAGAAGCTTTTGATAGGTTTTTGTAGCAGTGGGCAACAAGCCTTGTTTCTTTGTTTTGGGACTGTTTTGCTACAAGATGGATAAAGCTCAAATATTAGGACACCTTAGCATAGACTTAGAAACTTTGTTGTTTGCCTTGTAACCTTCAATCTCTCTTTTTTCACTTGTATGGATTTGAAAATTTGAATATCTTGAGAGAGCTTTGAATAAGACTTGCTCCTTTAAAATGATATGAGTAAATCTTATGAATGAATTGAAAGATCTTGTATAGAACTTGGATGAATATTGGATGTGTTCTTGGAATAAACTATGACGTCATTCTTGAATGATACTTCAATTTTTCACTTTGAATTTCACACAAACCTTATATGAATTCTCTTGAATCAATCTCAATAGATGATGAGAATTAACATACTTGGATTTGAAACGGGTAAGCGATGACAAATTGATATTTGAAATTGCATAAGTCACATGAATGAACTTGACCTTTGTATCTTGACTTCTAAGTAATTCACTCGTATCATCTTATAATATTAATCTTGAATCAAATTCTTGAATAACAAGCGATCAATGGATCTTCGTACTCAGCTTCTTGTTTCATGAATTACATCAGCATAAGAATCAAGTGTCTTGATAAAATAATTATGACATGGATTGAACCTAGGAGTTAAGAACATTCTAAGTCAAGAAATGACCCATAACGATTCAATGGCTTTAATGACCTTTTATGCATAATTAACTCTCGATCCTTGAATAGAACTAGTAGACGACATTACTCATGACAATGTGTAAAAATAATCGCCTCAAAATGACGAGAATCAAAGAAATTATGATCCTTGGAAGTTGGGCACAACGGTTTTGAGATTAGGTCAAATTCCACATAATGACCTCTAAAGTATTCGTACTTTTGATGATCCTCCGCACATAATCAGATCTTGACTAGTAAAGAGGAGTTGGAGATGACGTCAAAGAGAGCTATACGCAAAAATAACCATTCAAAAATATTGAATAATGAAGAAGTTATGACCGTTTGAACTTGAATGTGCAAGCGTTGACTTTTGGCCAAAGTGCTCTGAATTGACTTGCAAACTTGATCTTTCTTCGCATTCCAAAGCATCTTGATGCACATGTGAACCAGTTATGATGAAATCTTGTTTGTGCTCTGAGAAAGTTGTGGAGAAGCTTGAGACCACTTATCGAACAAGGCATGGAAATAAACATACGATTCCCATGATGAATCAGTCTTCAAGAATCAACAATCAAATGTACTTCTAGCTTGAGAGATTCTAAACCCTAATCGAGGCGTGACGCCTGATGCTCTTGATTTAGATCTATTTCTTGCAAATGAAATCAAAGAAACGAAGAACACACACTTCGTGCTTGATTAGAAGTTAGTGATACATAGGCTAAGAATGTTCAAAATACTTGATAATTTCTGCATAGTCAATGCTCGAAGGTGAGAGGTTAAAAGCGACCGTATTTCGTGACCTTGACTTCTGTATAAAAATGCAAAAATAAAAATGGGATCTTAGGTCAAAAATTGGGGTATGACAATGGGGCATGAGCAGTGAATTCAACCCTTCACCAAAAATTGAAATATCCAGTCAAGGGAAAGATCATTACTATCTGTGGTGAAAAAGAGTTCATGGTTAGTCATTTGAATTCGTTTAAGTATGTAGAGATGGATGGAGAGTTCATAGAGACTCATTGCCAAGCCTTCGAAGTGGTCCCTCTCGTGGTTGCCGCCACCAAGGTTTCTTTTGACATTCCAAAAGCTGCTCAAGATGTGCCGAGGATGGCTTCCCTCAAACATGCTCGTACTGTGATTGAAGATGGAGGTTATACCATTTGGGGTCAACTCCTTGACATCCCTTTCAAATCAGACAAAGGTGGTTTGGGTTGCACTACCAAAGCTCAAAAGGATGTCAGACGCGCTCGCATAGGAAAACCACATTTTCGCATCAGTAATTATGAAGTGAATGCTCTTGAAGACTCCAACAACGACTGTGATTTTAATAATTGGATCTACCTGACTGCCGATAAAGGACTCAACAACTGGCGCGCCAAGGATTTCATTCCCATCTCTATCAACAAGGAGTAATTACCATTTACTATTTTTATCCATTCAAGAACTTTGTCTGTAATTTTATTGAAACAATGACTTTAAGCTATGTGTGATCAGTGGATCTAGAATTGACTGTTTAACGCTGGTTCGCGAAATGTCGCGGAAGCAAGAGTCGCCACCGTCTTTTATTTTCTCCAAATGGAAAGGACAAAAGCACAGAAAAATTCCTTATTGAGATTGCTCTCGGTTCGGGAGGTAGATTTATAGAAAGGGAAGGTGTTAGCACCCTTTCTATCCATGGTTATCCATGGGCTCTTAGATACTTGCTCATTGTGTTTTCAAAATGGTTGTTTGCTTTTCAAATTATGGGAGTGAGTTTGAGAAAAGTTTCATTTAAAATTTCAGTTCGACTCTTGTATCAGTCCTCAAAAGTGTTTGAAAAGTTGTTTTGAAAGCTTTTTGCAAAGTTTCGGTGTGAAAAGAAGTTTTTGATTTGTTTTGAATTAGAGCAAGTATCTACGAGTCATCTACCTACCCTAAGGAATTCGTCTGTGTAAATGTCCTTAAGATAGTGCCATCCCACCATTGAGAGGTAGGTAGTACCACCGTTGGAGGTGTTCGGGTCAATTCGAGGGTTCGGGACAGTGTGGTCACCAGAGCAATAGGAAGACACCTTAGAAGCTACCCTCATGCCATGATCATGGACATGAGGACTTACTAAAACATCCTCTACTCGACGACCACGTTTCGAGGGGCAAGGCAACAGTGAGGCGTACCCTAGGGGTGGTGTGTGAATTGTGTGTCATTTTCAGTTATATTGGTCTTGTCATGCATTGAGTGTTCTACGCTTTGATTTTATTTTTTGGCCATTCATTCTTTCATGCAAATTATTAACAGTTAAAAGGTGCGGGAAGATAAAGGTCATACGCTATTACAAAGGCGCGGGTCTACATCGCCAAATTAAACCAAGACCCGATTTGAAATAAATGAAAATGCGGAAAGTAAATACCCTAATTAATCTATTACAAGGCTTTGGGGCAAGTACATGAAATTTATAAAAAAGGAAATAAAATAAGTGCGCGAAAAGAAATTATAATCGGATGCGAGGGCGTTGGACCCTTTAAAGAAATTAAATTGAAATTATTAAATTAATTAAATTAAATAAAGGAAAGAACTTATTTTTGGAGTTTTTGTATTTATGGAGTTTAATGAGAAAATTAAATGGAATTAAAACCCTAATTCTAAACTATTTTTAATTTATTAAAAAAATGTTTAAGTTTGACCTAATTTACATTAACTATTTACATGACATATTTATTTACAAAATAATTAATACTTAATAATGGTAAAAGAAAAGAAAAAGAATAAAAGTATTAAAACCCTAATTCTACATTTTTTAGTTTATTAAAAAAACATTAAAATTAAACCTAAAATTAAAACTAAATTAGTTTACAAAATTTATTTACAAAATAGCATTAAATAAAATATATTTTTATTTTCATGATTTTCTGATTTTTTGGTATTTTTATATTATTAAAATTAATTTTATGAATTAAAAGAAAATAATTAAAACAAATAAAATAAAAAGAAAGAAAAAAGAAAAAGGGAAAGAGATACAAACAAGAGGGGTGTTGACCCAAAGTTGGAGGTGAATTCCCAGCAATTTGGCCCATTTGAAGAAGGCCCTTTTGACTTTTCTGGCTTGCATATGGATGTGTTGACTGATGCGTATGGTGGATGGCTGGTGATAGCCACTGGATTGATCTTCTGGGATATGTGGCAAGCTTTGGCGCTGGGGAATTTGGTGGACTTCTGGGCATGTTGGGCACCTAATCATGTTATGAGAAAAAATAGAAGGAAATATGGGGGACCTGGGGATCGAACCTAGGTCCCAACGTTCATCACTATTGCTTTAAACCACTACACCATTCAGCGCGTTTGGAATATATAATGCAAAATAAACAAAATAACGTAAAACAATGATTAATGGTAAAAGACGCGCCAGAATATGAATGACCCTATCACGTGAGGACACTTAATCTTCTTCTTCGTTTTCCTGTAACAAAACACGTTAGATAGCGGGGGTTTTAAACCCCCACTAAATGAAGCCACGAATAATAGCGAATACGGCCTGGTTCATCATAAATTGAGCGCGAGGCATGGCTTTGAATCGTTATGAGCTTCTGATTCTAATGGCATAGGTCTTGTTGTCTGATTTTTCCTCAAGCGTAAAGCCCCAATTCATGGTTCCTGAAACCCTAAAAAATAGCCATGGCAATTTTCTATACAAGCAATATTAGTTCAATTCAATGGTACCATCAGTTTCAGTGAGTCCATATTAGTGTAAAACAATCATTAGAATGTATGAAAAATGCCTGCAAATCAAAATACGAATATGCAAATGTTCATGGACAGGGCGACTTCGTGCTACCGTTTCTTGAGGTTAGAGGCTGTGGTTTTGATTCAGAAAGCTTCCTTGATGCGTCAGGAAGGTAAGGGAATCGTTCTTTGGCTTGGAAAAGTGCTCTAGCTATGGAATCAGATTTGGAATTTTTGGTGAAAAATGCAAAGTGATGCTTTAGTTTGAGGCGCAGCTTCCAGGTCTTGTGCATTAGGGTTGTGATCTGTATATGTATGTGAGTGTTTTAGGTCAACAAAACAAGTCCAAAATCCATGGAATCAATGCTTTTGAATTTTGTGATCTTCCATGATTTTTTCAATCTTTTTTTCCATGCCAAATATGCCAATCATTGGAGATTCTTTCCATATTGAATATGCACGAAATCTTGAGGTTATGATGAGTAGAAATGCTGCATAAAAAAATTTGAAAGGTGGCATTTAGTATTTTTTTCATATTTAATTTGAATTAAATGAATTAATAGATTTAAAAAAATCAATTAATAAATA